TCTGGGCGGGGTTGTTGTAGCCGCTACAACAACAACAACAACAAGGGAAGACATTTATGTGGAATAATAACCACACAGTTCCAATTTAACCTTTAGCCCGAAACGCTCCGTTGCTATGGAAACACACCACGTCTTCCTTCCTTCGAATGCCAGTGCTATGGCAAGGTCTTATGGGAAAAACCCTTCCTAAAAGCGTTGTATTTAAAGGCGCTCCACATTTAGCCGACTGAGATCTTTGGAAGCATGCATAGATCATACAACTTCAAGTGCAGATGAGTTTATTTCGATTTTTTACGCTAAATAATTCATTATGACTTTTTTATTAAATATTTAATAACTTTTGTTTTTAGGTGGTGGTAAGGTTAGATGGATTATGGCCCCGTGCGCAGAAGTTCACGTAAGTGAGGAAAAGCTCTTGACTGACATTCACCTGGGTGTCCGTGTATTTACATCCACTTATCTTCCGGGTAGTGACCAAATACCCGTTTGAGAGCGAGATATAAAGTGAGAAGGCATAAAACCTGGGCTCGAATCGTCACATACAATATCGTATTACTCATCACGTAAAAACACATTTTTCGGATTATGACATACGTGAATGTGCTCTTTACCCCATTCAGCTTATACTACTGACGGTATCACGTAATTTTCTTTCGTATGGTTTTCGATCCGTGAACGGATGTTACGATTCGAGCCCTAGGTTCACATACGAGATCGTATTACTCGTCACGTAAAAACACAGTTTTCGCTTTATGACATACGTGAACGTACTTTATACCCGTTTGAGAGCGAGATATAAAGTGAGAAGGCATAAAACCTGGGCTCGAATCGTCACATACAATATCGTATTACTCATCACGTAAAAACACATTTTTCGGATTATGACATACGTGAATGTGCTCTTTACCCCATTCAGCTTATACTACTGACGGTATCACGTAATTTTCTTTCGTATGGTTTTCGATCCGTGAACGGATGTTACGATTCGAGCCCTAGGTTCACATACGAGATCGTATTACTCGTCACGTAAAAACACAGTTTTCGCTTTATGACATACGTGAACGTACTTTATACCCGTTTGAGAGCGAGATATAAAGTGAGAAGGCATAAAACCTGGGCTCGAATCGTCACATACGATATCGTATTACTCATCACGTAAAAACACATTTTTCGGATTATGACATACGTGAATGTGCTCTTTACCCCATTCAGCTTATACTACTGACGGTATCACGTAATTTTCTTTCGTATCGTTTTGGATCCGTGAACGGATGTTACGATTCGAGCTCTGGGCGTTTTACGTGACGAGTAATACGATATCGTATGTGAGGATTCGAGCCCAGGATGTCGGAGGAATCAGGAGTTTTTGGCGGAGCGTGTGGGAGAGGAAGTGGTTATGTCGCAGTGTGGTCGTGGTTGTGTAGGGTTGCTCGGGCTCAGGCCAACCAACGTAAATGATTTTGGCAGTGCCATTCGATCTCTATATTGGAAGATTAACACTAAAAACCTGAAGTTTACCCTAGATTATTGCCTTAAAGGGCAAATTTTTAATTTATTTAATATGATTTTAATTATAACACATATTAATCGTGCTGTTGCTTTATGAATCTAATATATAAAAATTTCGGGTCACGGTATTTGTGGTCGAACTCCTCCAAAACGGCTCGACCGATCTTTATGAAATTGTTTATGTATATATGGTAGGAATGGGAATCGGATGTAATTCCACCGATAAATAAATAAATAAATAACTAGGGTATATGTATCTCTAATCGTTATCGAGTCAATGACGAAGTTAGAGAACTACATTAGAATTCGATTCGAGAACAATTAGAGAAACAACGCAAATTCAAATAAATGTAAATAAGCAATATTCCAAATGAATGAATCATACATTTTTTTTAAGTTCAAATATTCATTATTATTTTATTGCAAATACATTTAATAAAAAATTTACAAACAATGCGTNAGCTATGATTCTCAACAGTTTCCGCTATTTTGCTATATGTACATACATACATACATATGAACTTTACACTTATGCATGATATATGTATAAATTCGAGTACTTTTCTTTTGCGCATAATTTATTTAAACAAAGGAATGAAAGTAAATTAATTTAATTCTCAACATACAACTTAACATTTCAATAAGAAATCTTTATGATCTACATAGTCGTAACTATTATATGCTTAGAGCACGCCGACCAAATGGCTTATTTTTTGGTATCGTACGTCATGACGACGCCAGCAACTAGAGCGAGTACTGTGAAACCTTGCGCAGCTATACGGGTACGCATCATTATCTGAGACATGCGTCGATTGCCGGTGCGAAAGTTATATAGACCGTATGATAAGGCGCCGGCAGTTACCAAACAACCTAAGAAAATTGTGAAGAATTGTTTAAAGTCAAAAAATATAAACTTATATAATTGGTAAGGCGGTGCTTCCAATTCTTACATACCAATCGGCACGGCCGGATTTTCTTTTATTTTGCGCAGCATTTTTTCCTTAGTTGTTTCGGGCTGGAATGAGCCGAAATCTTGACGCATTTGAATCCAGTCCAAATCCTCGTCCGGTAGTGCAATCTGCTCTTTTCCCATTTTCAAGCAATTAAATGTAAATTTCAGCCTTTGTTTTAAGAGTTCTCACTTCCTACAAAAAGTTTACAAAAACATATGGGAGCAAAACAAAATAGAAATGCACCTGATGTCAGTGTTACCAACTACTCAGAAAGCTTCTACGAAATTCTTTTCAACAAAAAAAAAATCACCAAAAATCCCCTAAAAACACCATTTCATTACCGTACAGAAAAAATATACTCATTAAAAAATATTATATAATGTTAGTGGCGTTCCAGATGCTTCACGATTTGGAGTTTTTTTTAGGAAGCCGTTCCAGGTGACCACCTACAATAAGATTTATTAATGGAGAAAACAGCTGTTCTTGCAAATCCTGTAAAACCGGCAAATCGTGAACCATGCAACTATTATGTACATATGTATGTATGTATGTATAGACATATGTATATTGCAATTAAATTACTTCAGTTAAAAATCGATAAACAATTTTTTTTTTTACTCATAAAAGTTGGATTTTTATTTTCCGTAAGAAAAATTACACCACCCAGTACATTAAATTCAACTAATCAATAGAACGCAGAAATCTTTTCTCCCTAAAAAATACCCTAAAAAAATTTTCCCCCAAAAAATCCTCTGTTTACAAAATTGTCCCCTAATTTTGGGGAAATCCGGCGAGTTGGTAACACTGCCTTATGTATGGTACACATTGGCGATCAAAACCAACAACAAAACAAGAAAATATTTTTTGCCTTTAAACTAGTAACATTATTCATAGTTTTGAAAAATTCATTTCCGTCAGCCAAAAGTCTCAAAATGGGGCAATTGTGAACAAAAAAGTATCAAATATGGTACTATTGTATCAAAACGGCAATTCTGACTGCAACAAAAAGCCAGGATTGCCGTTTTCCGCTTTTCTTACCAAAACTGGTGGGTTTTTCTCGTTGGTGGGATGGTAGGACGCTTAATATTTTGGTAGGTTCCTTTGCTCACAAAACAGAAAACATCTCTGGTTTGTTTAATCTGTCACATTGTCTGTGAGTAGGCTTACCAAATTGGGACAATATGAGTTTTACCCTCATTCTCTTTCTTGGATGGGTTCAACTGTTTGACAAATACCTTAAAAAACTCGTTGCTTACTGGCATAGGCAGAATTTCACCAATTACCTTCAGCGATTCTCTGAAGTCCGCACACGCTAAAAAAAGTTGTTCCCACTGTGATATCAAGTGATTAAATTGATGGACGTTAAGGCGGGTTTATAAATCAGATATTTTTCTTTGAAATGAAGTAGCAAATCGATAATAGATTAAACAATGCCAAAGTTGTTAAAATATTTTAAATGGCACTAGACGGGCGATTCTAATGCATACTAATAACGAATGTATGTGTTTACAGAATATATTATTTTCACCATAGACGAAAATTAAAAAGTAAACAACTTATTGTTAGTCGTACATATTTCCAGTATATCGGAGGATCTCAAAGTTTTTAGTCGCAACTCGAAGAAATTAATGGCAAACCCGCAGCGCGCAGATTTTTTCCCCCAACCCGGCGGGTAAACACCCGGACATTTGGCAATAGTTCATGAAGTTTACCGCTGAAAATATTTTCCAGCGGGTTGCCACCTATATGAAAACTTGTATTTAGTTAAAGTGATAATAATAATATACATTTGAAGAAATTGCACGATATGTATGTAGTTTAAATACCTTCGAAAATATATTGACTAAAACCCTAACTTTACGCACCATCATAAAGCTTTCAAATCTGTTTTATTTTATTATTATGTTTTTTTTTATATTTTAACCCCACGAAAAGGCATCAACCAATCAGATCAATCTGTATCCAATGTAGATGGCGCGGTAAAATTAAAACTGAGTTGTCAAACTACAAAATGACAACTGATGTTGACAGCGATGGTAAGAAATTTGGCAGACAGATATGGTTTAACAGTGGAAATTTGGGGTCTCCACCTGATATTTCTGTCTTAACACAGCTTTTTTTTAAAGAATCAGTAGAAGGTGAAGACGTGAGGTTAAGGCGCACTGAATAAAGCCGGGTATTTGCTAGTTATCAATAGAATAAATCACATTTTTAATTATAGGTTCATTCCTTATCTTTTTGGACTAAAATCTGAAAAGT